CGGTTCCCCTCTTTTCATCATAGTCATGTTTTCGTCTTCTTTTTATCATCCTACCTTACTTTGTCACCTCTCGCCTTTGCCCCTGGAGCTTTTATTTGATTGTCTCTCAGCTCTCTCTTGAGGTGTCTAGCTCCGGCCTCGAAAACGCGTCTCGGTTGGCGGCATTCCAGACCACGAGGTCTTTTTGCCTGTTGGCCTTTATGGCCTTTCTCCAGATTTTTTTATTTTTACTTTTAATTTTGTTCTTTTTTTGTTCTTTTTTCATTTTTCCACCTTTCACTTTCTTCTGCATCCTTTGTATTTCCTGTTCCTTATTGCCTCTTCCCGTTTCACTATCTTGTAGACTTGGGTATTTTCGGGCTCTAACGCTCCTCTTGAACAGCCGTCTGGTTCCTGGTTCGCTATCTTATTCAGATCCCGGGCTGAACCTGGTGAAAAGCTCCGGTTTGGGGAGCGTTGGAGAGGACGATGACGGTTTGTATACGACACACCCAAACAAGCTCTCCGAGAACAGCACCCCATTTCCGCAGCGCTCCTGGCCGCCTTGCATCGTTTTGTCCTTGTTGTTTTTGTTCTTTCTATCTTTCTATTCTTTCTCTTCAGAACTGACTGGTATTCCCCCCTCTGATGTGCTCTGTCTCCATTTTTTTTCTCTGATCCTCTTTTGCTCCGCCTCCCTTGCCTGTTCGACCGTTGACTACCTGTCTTATCTCTTCTGCTTGTGTTCCGCCGAGACCGTCATGGACGATCGGGCACGCAGGCAGGGCACTGATGCAGCCAACCCTTGCCCTGTCTAGGACACGCGTAGGGACTGCTCTCGCGAAACACTGTCTTTGCCTTTGTCAATGCCGTCATCACCACCCATCTACATTCTTCACAAAGTCCCCTCGTCAACTTTGCCACTTTTGTTCTGCATCTGCAGCCGCTGCCATGGAGATTGAGCGTCGATTACCGCGTGCTTGTTGGTAAGCACACTGCGTTGCTTATCCGTTTCAACTGCTTTGTCGAATGATCTTGTGTTGTCTACCGGTCCCTTTTCCCCTCGCTCCTCCCTCGGCTCATTTCCTTTTTTGTTATGCCTCGCCATCACGTTCTTCGTCGCGCGTCTTGCCTGTCCCTTTCGTCATCCCGTACTTCTTTAATGGCGTGCATGCTTGGTGAGAATGTGTCTAGCATAGAGTGTCTTTCTTAAGTGTCTTTCTTAAGTGTCTTTCCTAAAGTGCCTTTCCTAAAGTGTCTTTCGTAAGTGTCTTTCGTAAGTCTTTCCTAAAGTAGTCGTCCCTGCTCCATAAAGAGGAGTCGTCGTTAAGAGCTTGCGTTAGAAAGTGCAATGCTGTGGGCTGTTCATCAATACTTGGTCTTGCCTTGGGTCTTGACTTATCCTTGACCCGTCCCTGGCTTGTCCCGGACCTTCTTTTACTCTATTTGTCGTCGTTCCTCCCTCTCGGCCAGGTACCGAGTGTTTAATGTGTCTCTCGACATTCTCGGCGAGGGGAATCAAGGGAGCGCAGAACGGCAGGGAGAAGCTCGCCGATGAAAAGGGAAATAAAAATGGAACAGCAATACGCTGCAGAGAACCGCAGAGAACTGCAGAATTGTTGAATACTTGTAGGAGAAGATGTGAAGAAAACAATAATAAAATAGATAATACATAAATAAAAACCACAATGGAGAGACAAGCCACCAGGAACAAGAGACATCGTCTTTCCTGCCTCTCCCTCTCCTCTCGCCCTCGCGCCCTCTCACGTTGGCTTTTCTTGTCTCATTTTCGTCTCATTTGTCGTCCCCTCTGTCATGTTCTCTCCACGACGTCCATTGTCTTTTCATATCTCCTCTTTTTATTTTATTTTCTTGTGTCGCTTTTTTTTTCTTGACCTTTCCCATCCAAAAAAGGATCTTGGCGCGAACGCGGAAGTGGATTGGGGCTTCCGGACCGTGCACTTTCGTCGTTTGCCACGCATTAGTCGCAGCTCCTACGAGATATTCCCATTTTTGCACTTTGCATACCTCACAGTCCGTAGTCAGCGGCCGGCTGTCGTCTATGGCCACCTGTATGTCCCCCGGCCATCACACCATGTCGTCACGCCCTTTTCGTTTTGCATTCTTGCTCCAATGGTCTGACTGTAGTTCGTTGGCCTCCCGTTTATACACAGCGAGGCGTCGTGCATCGTAGCACCTAGACCCGGCGTCGTTCGTGTTCCTATAATACACAAACCCCGAGCAGCCAATCCCTGAGGGGCATTGCTGACTGTTTTGTACGGGAAACTCTGCTATGCCTGAGGTGCCACGGCATATGTGGATAGAGTCTGTTGTGTATTTTTTGTTTTTTTACTTTGTATTCCGACATTGTATCTCAATGTCCCGTACCTCGGGAGCAGCATATGTCTTTTGACCTATAGGTTGTAGTACGTTGCACACGGTACATGCGACGGGTGGTTGCAGTTGCATCTGCGTTTGTGTGGCGCATAATCACGGTTTGATGATGCGAATGCGCCGGAGACGCTTCCCTCATTCCTTGAATCAACTCATCCAACTTACACCCACTCGCAGCACGTCTCTCCTCCCTCTCACCGGGACATTGGACCAATCGTTTGTCCCTTTCCCCGTTCCCGTTCCTGTTCCTGTTCCTGTTCTTGTCCCCTGTTCCTGGTTCCTGGTTTTTGGTTTTTGGTTTTTGGTTTTTGGTTCCCACCGCACTCGCCCTGTCGTCGTGACGCGACGCGCACCAATAAAAGTCACGTCGGCACGGCGAACCTCTCCACCGAAAGGCGACAAGAGATCGGTCCCTCGCTCCCCGTCCATAAAATAAAATGGCAAGCCAGAATTCCAGTATAGTGCTGTACTGCCGTCGCTGGCTGGCTGGGCGGGTCTCTGCTTTTTGTTTCGCGGCCGTGTGTCTTGTCTCTCGGCCTTGTTCTACTCAGTCCCCAAAAGAAAATCTTCCCTGTGCACATCACCGCTCAGACCTGGCCCCGGCGGCATAGCACAGACAGAGCCCCATCGCGGCACATCACGGGCAAATCAGCCCCTCGGGCGCGCGTGCACCCACTGGTGGCTCTTGGCTCTCTCTTTCCTGGGTGTGGAAAGAGGCACGAGAAAGGGAAAAAAAAAAAAAAAAAAAAAAAAAAAAGGAAAAAGAGGGGAGGGGAGGAGTTTTTGGGGCAGACACCCAGAAACCCGCCCGCTTGTCGTTTGCTTGATCCATGCTAGCTCCAAAAAGTCCCAGAGCACATCAATGCTGATCATGTTCGATTTGGCCCATCACAAGCCAGCAGAGAGCAGCAGCGTCCACTTGGTTGGCCGGCAACGTCATTGGTGCAATTCATTGGGATAGGCCAAACTCTGTACTTGTCTCCCCAACGTAGGGTATCCTTTTGCTTTTTGGGCGAGGAATGGCGTCGTATATGGAGACTATGAGAAGGCAACGTACGGCAGAAAGAGGTTAGTGAGTGGAATTGGAGGCGGAGGCGGAGACTCGACATCGAAAAAATGGAGAGATGGAGGGGAAAGAAGACAAATCATATCGTGTGTGCGTCTGTCGTACAGATAAGGGACAGCAACGTGTAGGACTGCTGTATGTTTCTTACAGGTGATTGGCCGTCTGTGGCAAACGCCAATATTCAAACCAAGAAATCAGAGAGAAAGAATCGGAAAGCCTGCAAGAGGCCCAGTGGGACGGAAAGAGGTTGAACCAGCAACAAGGAGGAATGGGCAAAAGAAAAAGAGAAGGAAGAAAATGCACAACCCCAGGGATCATAGGGCTTTGGGCGCATTTCGACTATTTGGGATGGCTGCAGGGCGCGGAGAGACACTCAACAAGACACCCAGAACACCCAAGACATTCAAGACTTCAAGACGCTCAAGACGCTCAAGACGCTCAAGACACTCAAGGATGCTCATTGGCAATGGAGACAATGGAGCTGGCCAAGACACGTCCAGCTCCCTCAGACACACAGGCCGACCACTGGAACATCTTTTCTTTACGGTGCCTGTGCCCCTGGGCCGATCTTGGGATATCCGATGTGCGCAGAAGGCGAGCTCAGAAAGCAGATGGAGGAAAAGAGGGGAAAAGAACGACGAGACAATCAGGCCAGAAACAAACATGAAGAGCATCTCGACGCGTCCAAGACCTTTTTTGAAGGGCCCACGCCGCCAGGAGGTTCAGTAGCGTCATCTCGACAATCAGTCAGTGCCCATCCGTTCAGGCCATTTGCATTGAGGCCATGGAGTGATGTTCCCGTAGCTCTTTGGTCGTCCAAGACATCTTTACACGACTAGAACACGAAACCCACGAATAAGACGCGACGAAGCTCTCGACACGATCGAGACGGCCACGGCAGGGCAAGGCAAGACATGACCATGGCTGGGCCATGGCACCGGATCGCTTGGTAAAGAAAACGAGCACCGGAGAATATGAGAATGGACGACTGGAGAACTCGCTGGGTCGCGGAGTTTCTTTGAAGAAAGGGACGACTTCTTCATCTCGTGTCGTCTCCCTGCGTCAAGAAGGTTCGCCAAAACACGCTGGCAACTGTCCTAGCGGGGAGAAGAGCGAAGGCAAAAAGACGATAGCAAACCAACGCAGCCCGACGCCGGCCGACACAAAAGAACTCCAAGACAATAAGGATCCATTTTGCAAAGTGTGGATGTATGCACTGCCAAGGAAAAATAAGAGTCGACGAGTTGAAAGAGTCGAAATGCCGAAAGAGTTGACACAGTCGAAAGAGCAAAAGAGCAAAAGAGGCAAAAAGTGTCAAATGGGTTGCTGCGCAGCGCGTGCTCGATGTGGGCCAGGCACAGGGCGGATGATGCGAGGCTAAGCGGAGCTCGTCGACAGACACGCAGACAGAGACTGGTCAGACGGGGCAGGCGAGCACGATGCGATCGAGAGGGTGGGCAGACGGAGTGGAGTCTTGAATGAGGATCGTTCGTCCCCCGCCCCTTTGCCAGGCACGCCGTGAGCATCGAGATTCTGTCCGCCTTTCTCCCCACCAGCTGCAATGGGAAGACGACAAGACGACGAGACGACGAGACGCCGAAACGACGAGACGACAAGACAAGACAGACGCACAAGCAGGAAAGCCAAGAAAGGAATACTGACCAGGAGAGAGGACAAGACGAGCCAAGGCCGACGGTTGCAGCGAGTGCGTTGCAGCAGTTCTGCCGTTGCTCGCAGTGCCCGGCTGCCCGTTGGTTGGTGCAACGGCTGCCTTTGTGCGGTTCAGAGTGTCGACCGAGTTGAGCGTGTTGAATGTCGAATGTCAAAGTGCGCGGGTGCGCCGTCCATTCGTTGCGTCGTATCTCTTTCAACAGGGGACAAGAATAGTAAGGGACTTGCATTGGCCGAGCGTGATAAGTGCAGACGCACGCCGTGCAGGGTGGTGGGCAGGCCGAGAAGGTGCAGTGCAGTTGGTCGCGGCTTGCGCCTTCCCTCTGCCAAACCCTCACGCCTCCCCAGGAAAGCGCGTCCAACAGCGCACCAGCCCGTGCGCTTGGTCGCTGTAGGTGCCAGCAGCCAGCCTAACGCAAAGGGGCCTCTACTGTCTCTGTGCTACGTTCATTACTGCCTTTCTGTACTACACCCCATCCCCCATCGTCGCTGCCGTCCCAACGGCGCACACCTCCCTCCCCAAGCTGGCACGCCCCTCCTTCCTCCGTCCGGCCTCCTCCAGTGCCTTCCCCACTCGCTCCAACGCGACTTTGTTTGCACCCCCTACCACTCTGGCCCATCCGCACCCCCCCCCTGCCCCCACCAGCTGACTTTAGCTAGCCTTGACTTTCTTCTGTTGTATGCAGTCTCCCAGGTCTCCCAGAACTCTCAACGCACCGCATTCTTTCGAGCGGCTCCTTGGCCTGCTGGTCGCTCCAGCCTATGGAAGTACATGGCCGTCGCCACAAATGGACCTGAACTGGGGTCCACACAGATCGACCTCGTCCTAGGAGCCGCTGCTCAGCAGAGGGTGTACGACATACTTGGAGCAACTCCATCGCGGCTTCCCAGTAGGGTAATGTCCCCCCTGTCCCTTCCAAAGGGCGACGACGGGTCGCCATTTTGGGCACGCCCTGTCAGTTGGTGTAAGTGGAAAGAGCGACCCAGACTACGCAGACTACGCAGACTACGCAGACTACGCAGAAGGTCCATACGTGCATTGCTCCAACGACGCCATACTGCGGACGCCATGCACCAGAGGCTCCTTCCTCGGCCGTGGACTGCACTTCTTTCCTCTCGATCGCCGTTTGCTACCCTTCTTGGTATATAACTGCTCCCTCGTCCCTTCATTCTTTCCAATATCATTCTTCCCATCTACCTCACTCCTCTTCATCATTCACTTCTTCGCATCCACTTCTTCATAACCCTTCATTCTCTCCCTTCAACAAGCTTCAAGCTGCCCACAGCAATCTTTGAGCATTCCTCTTGCCTTGTGCTCTGGGTTCTTTTCGTGGTCCTTTGACAGTTTCCCATCTTCGTTTTCACATTCTCACATTCTCACATTCTCATACACATCGCCAACATGATGGACTTGAAGCTCGAGTTCCACTCCCAGCCCAGTGCCATGTATGGCGACGTCTCTTCCAACCACGGCAGCTTCTCGTCCGCCTCCGGCCCCGTCGGCTCCAGCTACGATGCCTTCACACCCGTGTCCATGTCGGGCCGCTCGTCACCGGTCGGCAGCCAGCGTCTGGGATCCGTTGACTACAGCTCCAACGCGTCCTTCGCCGAGATGCCCCTCGAGATGACGCCGCCCAGCTCGGCCACCATGCCATTCTTCAGCATGAACATGCCGCCGACCACCACGGCTGCCGGCATGGCCTCCAACTACCAGCTGTCGTCCTCTGCGTTCCCCCAGCCGCCGGCCACCCCCGAGCGCAACGCCAGCTTCAGCAGCCACGCCTCCGCCGGCTCGCCCGGCAGCCCCAACGGCATCATGGCCCACTCCTACCCTGCCTCCGTTGCGTCCATGTCCTCCATGTCTTCCATGTCCTCCATGTCCTCCATGACCTCCATGGCCACCCTGTCGTCGTCTGGTGCTTCGCCGCACCACGACAACGTCCTGTGCGACCCGGCCACGCCTGGTGCCTACCCCTTCCCGGAGACCCTGCCGTCCAAGGCCAGCAACGGCCTGGCGGGCCAGTTCCCTCTGCCCTCGCCCTACGCGCGCGGCAGCTACCCGACGCCCCACGGTCACCACCTCGCGCACGACGGCACCGAGTACTCGCCCTCCGAGTTCTGCTGGAACAACCGCCCCGACAGCCCTGCCATCAACTACTTTGGCGACCGTCCGTCTCTGCCGCCGCCGCCGCCGTCAGCCACGCTCAAGTCGTCCGTCGTCAAGAACGAGGGTGCCGACGCCTACCTCTCGCCCTCCTCCGAGTCGCCCTACGGCACGTCGCCCACGCGCCGTGCTCTGCACTACATGGGTGCGCAGTCCAGCGCCCGCGCTCTGCAGGGTGCCGTCGATGCCAACGACAACCACGGCTATGGCCCGCACATTGCCACGAACCCGGCCAGCACCGGCACCATTGTCACCCGCAACGGCATCCAGGTGTCTCGCGTTGCCTCGGGCGCCTACAAGTGCATCGTGGCCGGCTGCCCTTCGCGGCCCTTTAAGCGCTCGGAGCACCTCAAGCGCCATGTCACAACGTACGTTGGCTACTCTATGTATACATAATACCTCCTTTTGCTCTCTTACTAACAACCATTCAGTCACCACGAGAACAAGGATTCCTTCCCGTGCGAATTCTGTGGCCGCCATTTCAACCGCAAGGACAACTGGCGGTCGCACCTGAAGCTCCATACCGTCACCCGCGGCAAGAACGCCCGCACAGACTACTACCCTGCCGCCGTCCGGATTTACGAGCACGAGATGAAGCACATCACCAAGTCGCGGTCCCGCAAGGAGGTCAACAGTCTCCGGCGCTAAAGACGAAAGACCTTTCCTTGTTCTGCCTTGTGTTTTATTTTCATGCTTTGAATTCTTCATTATATCCCCTTTGGCGTATCTTCGACTCTTGCACTTTTTGGATTTTTCTTCTCTTCTTCGGCCCAGCTACATGTGCCACTATTATTTTGTTCTTACACATTGATGTTTTTTCATTACCTCATTACTTGCGGTTGGTGGATTTTTTCATGGCGTTTCATGGCGTTTACATGGCGTTTGCATGGCGTTTACATGGCGTTTTTCCATGATATATTATATGGCTTACGACTTTTCTGTACTTTTTGCATTTCATGTATTGTCATCATTGTTTACGACAATTTGCGCTTTTCGTTTTCTTTTTTTCTTTTTTCTACATTTCGGCCATGTCGACTGGAAATAACGGTACTGTTGGAAATGGCCTTTTGTTTCCTCTATTCTTGTCTCGTGTCACTCGCAAAGAAAAGCGACGTTTCTGTTCGGGGTGGCAACCTTTGGGAGGGGAAAGGAGGACAATCGTCCTTTGGAAAGAAATAGGCTTATTGTGTTAGGTTAGGTTTTCACAAATACGAATAATAACCAGTCTTGGTCTCTACACTGTTGCTCTCTCTAAACTGTCTGGACCTGTCCTCGGAGTCGACCTGGTCGCGGTGTTTTTGTCTTTGTTGCTTGGCAACTCACTAACTATACTGCTGACAAAGGACGAGGACAAATGTACGACGCAATACATGTGAAATAGCAGGATCCCGGGTCTATTGCCTTCCCACTGCTTGGTCATGGATTGGTACACTTTGTTTTTGTAGATCGATTTTCACTTGCCATTTTTAGAGCAGTCCAATGGCTGTTTGCGTCATGTCTAAAAAGAGTATCCAAAAACGAGAACCAAAAAGAACGGAACCAACAGACGGGATTCCTCGAGCGCGTCACCAATGCATGCAAGAAGACACTGCTTTAAAAGAGGAGAACAAAAACAAGACGGGCGGTGCAAGTTTGGGATGGAGAGGGCGTGTGCATGAAACAAGCAGCTTGCAGGGGTCCAGCCTTGAGGACGACTGACAAGTAACAAAATAGAAAGTATAATAAAAGTGGCTTGTAAAATAAATGTATGTTTAAAGTAAACGTAAATCGGAATAAATAAATCAATGGTAAAGATGAAAAAAAAAGGTAAAAAATAAAGAATAACATGGACGAAAAAGGGCAGCAAGTTCAGTTCTCATGTCATGTTTTCCAAACGGAACCATAATTCTCCAAGAACAGTCATAACAGTTGTCACTCTACCACAATCAATCTGGCCCACCTGTTGCGACTTTCATCCTTCTGCCGCCTCTCATGCCCTAAGCAATGCCCACCACTGCCTTTCCTCTCACTTCTTCTCATTTCACATCGGGAAAAACCAAAGATGGATGGATTTGTTCGTGTTCTAGGAAATTGGTAGGGGATCGAGAGGTGCCGTCAAAGGGACCCGCTTCGAATTGCGCTTTTACGTTTTTTGCACTTTGATGTGCCCGCAGGCCCGCAATTCGTGGCCCAAATGGGTATAAGTGCGGTCCCACTTTTTTCAAACCCCCCGTTTACGATCTTTTCACACGATTTTGCGAGTCGATGTCGCTGTCAGCACAAACATGCAACCCATCACAAACCCCAAAAGAGTGCCAAGCGCCAAAAAAAACGACATCGAAGGATAAGCCGTGTCGATCTCTTTGTCCCAATCGAGTATCGCACCACTCGGCGTAATGCGCCACCCCGATTCAGTAAAAGAAACGCAAAACGAACAAAAGGACGATAGGAAAAGAGAGAGAGACAGAGAGAGAGACAGAGAGAGAGAGAAAGATCCAAAACGAGGCAGACGGAGGCATCCCCAAAATACAGCTCAGGAAAGCAACAAGCAAGCTAGACTCGAACAACGGGCTGCCAAGTTTAGTTTTCGGTGAGACACGAATCGCTTTACAGACTCGGGATTTCTTTCCTCATTTTGTTTGTACCTTTGCCGCTTTCGACGGTGTGTATGTACCTCCTCCAGCTACTTTCGCTTGTTTCTTCGTGTCTCTCCTCGAATTGCTTCTTTTCTTTCTCGTGTTTCTCTTCGTTTTGGCAATCCTACGTCCTTTTCGATGTGTCTCACTCGATCGAGCTTTTCAACGCGTCTCGTTACTTTTCCTGTCACCTCCTCTTGTATGCCGTCTTATTAAATTCCCGTGAGACAGGGACCGACTTTGGTAAAAAATTGCCCGCGGATCCCTGCCACTGGACAAGGATGCCAGGGGCGATTTTTCGGACTTCCTGGACTTATTCAGGTCCCTCGAAGCCGCCCCGGTCGTTTGCCAGACTTCGAGCCAACGTCGCTTTTCCTCCCTCTCGTGCCTTGCACCAGGCGGGGCATGTCTCACTTTTCAGAGCAGGCTTCGGACTCTTTTTTCTTTTATTTCCTATTTCCCTTTTGTTTTGTGTCTTGCCCGTCCCTCCTCGAAAACAAGAGCTGCATCTTTTCCCTGTCCAACTCCCAGACATGCAGGGTCGATCGCCCTTTTAGTCTGATGGGATACTGCAGGCTAGGGGATCGTACGGGGCCAAATGTGTTCCAGGTCCAGTCCAGGCCGCAGTGTCCGGGGAAAGACAACGGCGAGGGTTCCTCGGACGGAAAGCAAAAAGGTATTTGTTTTCCGTAGACCTACTCGACCTACAAGCAACTCAGGCTTAACGTTCTTAGCTTTAGAGCCGCAATTCCTGTTGTCCATCTCGTAGCCCAATCAGAATACCCTGAGCAGCACAGGACACCGCTATCTACCCCAAAGCCGCCGTTCGTGTGATTCTGATTTGCCTCCGTTCGCTTGCCGGTGGTAGATACTAAGCACTGTTCTTTAAGTGCGTGTCGAGTTTAAGTACAATACTAATACTGGCTACGATGTACGTACGATGTAGTATTGTTCGCCTTCACAGAGGTCAGCTCGTCGTTTGTCCATTCCGTTTCCGTCGCCGTTGGGTGCAGCCAGTACGTCGTACTCTATCGTTTTGTTCGGACCGACCTAGCCAATTGAGTAGAATTGAGCTGTTCGAGTTGGGTTTCTCCGTCTCCTTCTTTGTCAATTCGTGATTCTTTTTTATGATTTTCGACAGCGTCCACTCTCTCAAATCCGCCTGACGGAATGAATGAGCGGTTGAGACAGCGACTGTAGCAGTAAAAGCCACACGACAAGGATCAAACTCCACCAAGATCCATCAAGCTCCATCAGAGAGTCCCATCCTGGCGCCTGGGCATCACCCCCGCACATATCCTGGTCGATCTGGCGGCACTCTGTTATCTCTGAGTCTCTCTCAGAGGCGACACCCAGACCAAGACCAAAGCT